ACAACAACAACAACAACAAGAAATTTTTAGTTTTGTAGGACACGAAATCTCTAATAGTTTTGCCAATCAAGAGAACGGGATTTGAAATTGCCCTATTTTCACTGAATTTTAGGTTTCGGTCGATTAATTGCAGTGCCTTCACCATTTCTCGTTTTTCCTCCACTGGGAGCTCATTATCAAAAAAAAACACTAAAGCAGTTGTTGTTGTTGTTGTTGTTGACAACATTTTATTGAATTTGGCTTCGTGAATAAGAATTAGAGTAGCTACTGGGCCCCCTTTTTATGAAATGATATCGCACAAAATTTCTCTTCTTCTTGTTTGTAAGATACACTAAAAATAGTCAAATAGCCGNCACTAAAGCAGTTGTTGTTGAAATTGTTGGTGACAACATTTTATTGAATTTGGCTTCGTGAATAAGAATTAGAGTAGCTACTGGGCCCCCTTTTTATGAAGTGATATCGCACAAAATTTCTCTTCTTCTTGTTTGTAAGATACACTAAAAATAGTCAAATAGCCGATTTGTGGCGTGCGGCTTAATGTTGTCACACCTAGAGGAGGGACCTACAGTTTTACGCTGACTCCGAACGGCGTTTGTATTTCAATGAGAAGCTGTTTTTCTTGGCAGCAATACATTCGGAGGTTTGCCATTGCCTGCCGAGGGGCGGCCGCTGTTAAGAAAAAACCTTTTTTCTAAATTTTTTTTGCGAATGTTGCTTTGACCAGGGCTTGAACCCAGGCTCTGCGGAGTGGAAGCATGCACTGCTTACCACTACACCGGATAGCAATGCCCTGACATTCTAGGGTGGTATCCCTGTGGTCGATGTCTGCTTCGATAAGACGATACTGCACGGTATGGTGCGTGATGAATGCTAAGCCACCACCATTATCTCGTTCGCGATCTCGACGGTGCGCGTTGCATCTGGCGCAATTCAACAATGTTGAATTTCTGTGCATATTCGTCTCTTGGACCGCAGCTATCAATATACCATGCCTTCCCATGAAGATGGTTATCTTCTCGATCTTGCTCTGTAGTCCGTTACAGTTGAATTGAAGGAGCTTCATGTGGTTCGGGAGACGTGTTGTTATGCGTGGTGTGAGGGATGTGTGTTTCCTTTCCGCCATTGGCTGTGTGCGCTGATGTGGAGGGTGCCGCCCTGTGGTGGTAGTGGGTGCCGNACACTAAAGCAGTTGTTGTTGTTGTTGTTGTTGACAACATTTTATTGAATTTGGCTTCGTGAATAAGAATTAGAGTAGCTACTGGGCCCCCTTTTTATGAAATGATATCGCACAAAATTTCTCTTCTTCTTGTTTGTAAGATACACTAAAAATAGTCAAATAGCCGATTTGTGGCGTGCGGCTTAATGTTGTCACACCTAGAGGAGGGACCTACAGTTTTACGCTGACTCCGAACGGCGTTTGTATTTCAATGAGAAGCTGTTTTTCTTGGCAGCAATACATTCGGAGGTTTGCCATTGCCTGCCGAGGGGCGGCCGCTGTTAAGAAAAAACCTTTTTTCTAAATTTTTTTTGCGAATGTTGCTTTGACCAGGGCTTGAACCCAGGCTCTGCGGAGTGGAAGCATGCACTGCTTACCACTACACCGGATAGCAATGCCCTGACATTCTAGGGTGGTATCCCTGTGGTCGATGTCTGCTTCGATAAGACGATACTGCACGGTATGGTGCGTGATGAATGCTAAGCCACCACCATTATCTCGCTCGCGATCTCGACGGTGCGCGTTGCATCTGGCGCAATTCAACAATGTTGAATTGCTGTGCATATTCGTCTCTTGGACCGCAGCTATCAATATACCATGCCTTCCCATGAAGATGGTTATCTTCTCGATCTTGCTCTGTAGTCCGTTACAGTNGCGTTGCATCTGGCGCAATTCAACAATGTTGAATTTCTGTGCATATTCGTCTCTTGGACCGCAGCTATCAATATACCATGCCTTCCCATGAAGATGGTTATCTTCTCGATCTTGCTCTGTAGTCCGTTACAGTTGAATTGAAGGAGCTTCATGTGGTTCGGGAGACGTGTTGTTATGCGTGGTGTGAGGGATGTGTGTTTCCTTTCCGCCATTGGCTGTGTGCGCTGATGTGGAGGGTGCCGCCCTGTGGTGGTAGTGGGTGCCGTCGCAATTGGGGTTTGTAACCGTGCAGCGCAACACGGGCCCTCGAAGTTCATTGTCCAATCTCGAGTGATGCACAGACCTGAACATGCCCTAAACTGGCACCAGGTAAGGCAGGTGTTGCACGTGACTAATGTCACGTTACGGAATATCCTGGTCTGACATACCGTGCACATTGTAGGAGGAACAAGGAGTTGTTGGCGGCGGCGTGTGGGTGGTGGTGCNTAACCGTGCAGCGCAACACGGGCCCTCGAAGTTCATTGTCCAATCTGGAGTAATGCACAGACCTGAACATGCCCTAAACTGGCACCAGGTAAGGCAGGTGTTGCACGTGACTACTGTCACGTTACGGAATATCCTGGTCTGACATACCGTGCAGATTGTAGGAGGAACAAGGAGTTGTTGGCGGCGGCGTGTGGGTGGTGGTGCGGCTGTGTCTGTTGTATGGTCTGTCGCGGTTGTGGTGTGGTCTATTGTGTTGTTGTGTTTTGGTGCTGTGGAGTTTATGTTGAGCTGCTCAAGTGGACTGTGGTTAGCCGTGAAGGCTGCTCTGTTTGGGCAGCAGGGGACCACAAATGATGCCGTCCACTGTCGATAAGTCCGTAGGCCTTGACTGCGGTGGAGTTGTGGTGTAGTCGTCTCTGGCATACTCAGCGGCCCTGTGCAGAAGTGTACGTAGCAAATGTAGCCCTATGGACGAACAACTTCTGAGATACTTCGCCGCCCTAAACGGGGTTAGATCGCCGAAACAAAAGCCCTGGGTCGGGTAAAACCCGAGTCATTCCGGTACGTAGAACCGGCTGTCGTGGGAACGGTCAGTTCAATTTATGATCCGCTCTGTTTGGTTTGTGGCACTGATAACACAGGCCAACAAAAATGGGAAACAATTTTGTAACATAAAATGTTAAAGCTGTTTTTAATAGACTTTTTCATGCTGATTACGAATCCGTAAGTAAAAAGTTTCCATCACGTCCAGATTTTGAGAAAAACGTGGTCAAAGTATCAAAAAATCGCGTTTTTTGCAATATTTGAGAAGCTCTAGCAAAAAAACAAAAGGTGTTAGAACCTTACACTTCGGCTTAAATTAAAGCTAGAACTCTCGACTGAAAATACCATTCGTGCACCTTGGCTTGATGATCACTGATAGTCATTTATTGAACAATAACAAAATACTGGAGTATTGGAAAGAAAATTGTGCTGTAAGTGACCATCAAGTCAAGTTTGTTTAACTGAATATTATTTCATTTAAATACACTTTTCCGCATTTAGTGAGTTCATTTTTATAATTTCGTCTTCCTCGTGTTAGTAGTATAAAATTAGTGCTGCCAACCCCAATAAGAATGATCTAGACCGTTTCCGTGAGAAATGATCGTGATTGGATAACCCAAGAAAACACAACTGTTGGCATTGTCTACTGTCTTGCAGAAATATTCGACCCTCGAAAAACGACTCGCACTCGACACTGCTCTCGCAATGAGGCTGTATTTTTTTAAATTTCGTAGCCACTACTTTTAATGAAGTCTAGCAATGTTAACGGTAATGAATATAGTGTTCTGACTGAAAATATGGTTTAATACATTTATAACTAAGTCCTATTACTAACTTAAATACCAAATGAGTGTCCGGCATGCGGAGTGACACCCCATGACTCGTAACATCTCTTCGTATGCCCGGAAAACCCCTCAACCCTAACGCCGACCCTATTGAGGCTTCTTAGCGCTGCCGTTAGTGGAACATGACGACAACGACTGAGATATTAACCGATCTGGGCGGGGTTGTTGTAGCCGCTACAACAACAACAAACTTAAAAAAACGTTTTGGGTTTTCGCTTTCATGAATTTCTGCCATAGAAATGCCCATATGTGTATTTTAATATTTTGTTCGGGCTTTTTTAATCCCTATTGTAAAATATAGGTGGTGCTAGCATTAAAAGGGGAGCCATTAGACTGGAGAACATTAAGACGAGACGGGCCAACGGTAATACTTCCCACCAGGTTGACAGAGTATACCACTCCTCGAGTAGAAGCATTTAATTTGTTGGGCGATAGCGTAAGTTCTTGTTGTTTAGTATTCTTTTAACCAGGATAATCAAATAATTTGTTGATATTATGTACAGAAAGATAAAAGCCCAAAAAACTACAACAATAAGAAAAACCCAAAACAGAGTAGTGACTATGTGTATGCAATGAGGCCAGTTACACATATTATGTCACAGGTGCACGTCAATTTGCTTACCGACAATATATCACTATCGAAAGCAGATGTTCCTCCAGAGATGGCAAGACTTATCCAGATTAATCGCAATCACAAAATAATGCCAATCTTAAAGACTGATTTTTTTAATACACGTTTAAAAAATTTGGTAGAAGTTACCAAGAATACCACCGAGTTCAAAATAACATTTCATTATACGCCTATTGGCATCGGAAAATTGCGTTTAATGCTAATGGTCGAACATACTATGCAAATGATGGAGACGATAGGATTCTCCAAGAAGGATATAGATGAATTAAAGGGTATGTTTTCTGACACGAATGCTTACCTTCTCTGCGGTACTATATTTGTTGCCAGTGTACATGTAAGTAATAAATCGGCTAACACTATTTTTACTAATTATTATTTTCCCCTAGCTACTCTTTGACTTCCTATCGTTTAAGAACGACGTTATATTCTGGCGGAGAAAAAAATCGTATGAAGGTCTTTCAACGCGTACGACTCTTTGGCGTGCGTTCTCTCAAATTGTGATATTTCTGTATTTACTGGACGAGAATACATCGATGTTAGTGCTGATCCCTGCAGGACTTGGTGTGGTTATAGAGTTATGGAAGTGCAAAAAAATATTGAAACTACAAATAGGCCTCACAGGCTTGCAAAGAATGCAGTCAAAAGATCTAGAAACAAGCAGAAGTGCGGAAAAGAGAACCGAAGAATTTGACAAAGAAGGAATGAAATATTTAAGTTATTTATTATATCCTTTGTGTATCGCGGGTGCTGTTTATTCTCTCTTGTACCAACCACATAAAAGTTGGTATTCTTGGACTCTGAATTCTCTTGTTAATGGAGTCTATGCTTTTGGCTTTCTTTTTATGCTACCCCAATTATTTGTTAACTATAAGCTAAAGTCAGTTGCAGCCCTGCCATGGAGAGCTTTTATGTATAAGGCATTCAATACATTTATAGATGATTTTTTTGCTTTCATTATTACTATGCCCACGGCTCATAGAGTGGCCTGCTTGCGTGATGATGTTGTATTTTTGATTTATTTATATCAGCGTTGGCTTTATCCAGTGGACAATAGTAGATTAGATACCGGACTTGCAGTTGAAGAAAATACCCACACTGATGAAGCTATTCATTCTTCACAAATTGCAAATGACAGAAAAAATAAATAATAAATTCATGGAATATGTACATGGCGCAATAATTCCACCATGGAATATCCCAGCAAACACAGTCTCTAACGTTAGAGAAATTTGGATTTCTTCATTAAATAACTAGGGTACTTATCTAATCATTCTCAAGTCGATGACGAAGTTAGAGTACTACATTCGAATTCGATTCGAGAACGATTAGAGAAACAACGCAAATTCAACTAATTGTAAATAAGCAATATTCCAAATGAATGAGTCATAAGGTTTAAGTTCAAATAATTCATTATTATTTTATTGCAAATGCATTCAACACAAATTTTACAAACAAAGCGTGTTTTTTATTAAAGCAAAAGAGCAGTTTGAAATTCACATTCGCATCTCATTAGAGATCAACATTAGAATTCGATTAGAGAATTAATATTGGGTTGGGTTTAGTAGCGGTCCCAACTATTTCGGGCTATTCCGTCCAAAGGGGTGGCCCGATCCAAAAAAAATTCCACACACTTGTAGTCAAGGGTCTACACATTATTTTAGAACCTACTTTTGTAATTTTTGGTCCGTAATTTATTTAGAAATTTGGTTTGAATTATGCTCTTTTTTTTGTAAAATTCTCACTGGGGCGGTAGCCCCAGGTTTACCACGCAGAAAGGGAATTCTAGTTACCTCATCCTTTCCCAAGGCTACATCACTGGGGCGGTAGCCCCAGTTGGTGCCCACCAAAAGGAGAATTCTATTGGGTAAGGGTTATAATCCTAAAGCGCGGCCGAAGGCCTCCTACGCAGAAAGATGGTCTATGCTAAAATAGTATCACATCGAGGGCTTATATTCAATACTCTCTATCTGCAATTTTCATGAAAATTGGTTTTTGATGGTAACGTGAGCTCTTATTTATCTTTCAGCCCTGACAATAATGTTAAACTTAAAATTTAGCTTTAATGGTATTATATGTTCATTTCGAAAAATCCACTATCTGCAATAACATTTTGTTACAAGAGCAAAATACTCTATCTACACAATTTTGCAGGAAAATTGTTTTCATTAGCAATTTTTGTGGCAGGTCAAATAAAGACTGGGTAAGTTACAAGTGCCTATGTATGTATGTATGTATATGTTACCGGTAAAATCCGATCTTAGGTCAAACTAGTTTGCCCCAGGCTTAACTAGTTCTACCTAATGGGATATATCTGTCCAATCGAAACCAAATTGGATACAACAATCTTGTGGACTGCGTAGCTTGTGTTGGACTGATAAGAGTTTATTTATTTATTTATTTATTCATATCTAGTAAATCTAGAAATACATGATTTCTTACAGACTACTACAAAAATACTTAACGATACAAGTTCAAGCTTAACTATATAGTTCATTCAATGATAATTTAAACAATTTCTTAATAATAATAATAATAGATTGGCGCTTACACATTTGTTAGTGTTTGGCCGAGCTTCACAATTGCTTAGGCGACGAGAAATCAAAGGCCAAAGAATTTGAGATTTGATTAAATTCTTTCAATGCTCTATGAATCGGAGCATAGGATGCATAAAACGTCCGGACTCGCTCCAGAAAGAATAAATCATTGCTCCGCAATTTTCTTTGTGGAATGTAAAAATAAATGCGCTCTAAAAGAAATGGACAATCAATTTCTCGACTGATAATATCAAAGATAAAGCAGAGTGAAAGAACACTCCGTCTATTTTGTAAAGACTTCAAGCATATTAAAGCACATCTAGCATCATACGAAGGAATCGGTTCAGCAAAGTTAAGCGATCTGAGAGCAAAACGAAGAAAATTCTTTTGAATTCGCTCAAGTCTATTAATGTGACAAAGGTGATATGGCCTCCATATAAAGACCGCATATTCTAACTTAGATCGTACAAGCGAGGTAAATAGTAATTTTAGGGTGTAAGGATCAGTAAAGTCTGAACCAAAGCGCCGAATAAAGGCAAGTGTAGAATATGACTTAGAAATTATATAATTTAAATGACTCAGAAATAGGAAATTTGAATCAAAATTTACTCCCAGATCAGAAACTTCATCCAAAGTGGTGAGACGTGATTCCTTAATTAAGTATGAAGTAGCCAAAAACTGCCTAGACTTAGAAAACGTTATGTGAGAACACTTCCGAATATTTAGCTGAAGGTGATTTTTATCACACCATGCCACAACGTTATTGAGATCTGACTGGAGCTTAGCTGAATCAGATCGACTTGAAATTGTTTTAAAAATTTTTAAATCGTCTGCATATAAAATAAATTCAGAAAATTTAAAACAATCAGATATATCATTAATAAAAATGATGAAGAGTAATGGACCCAGAATACTGCCCTGAGGGACACCAGAAGAGGCAACAAAAGGTTGGGAAGAAACATTATCAACAACAACTACACATTTACGACATGAAAGGAACGACTTTATCCATTTTAAAAAAAT